CCAGGAAGATTTCCTTCCAGTTGTAGCGGGCTCATAATATTATAGAATCGTTGCTGGAACAAGGCCGCCCTAGCTGCCAATACGCGCCGCGTCACACGCCTTATCTTGCAGAGACCATAACTGCTTTGAAGTGCCGCAGGTAGAGCCAACTATCTCATACTTGTCAAGTGCAAGGATGCATTCATACTTTGCAGCAGCGTCTGCCAGCGTGCACTAGCGTCTACCAGCGTTTACCAGCGACTCGAAGGCTAGGGAAGTGTACTTATCGATCTAGCGTATGCCAGCGTGCACCAGCGTCTACAAGCGTCCGGGAGAGGGTAGTACGGCGCGATCAAATGGTAGCCGACAGTTGGTACCCTCCTATCGCACCTACTCTCTACCAGCAGTCTGCCACCCTCCTATCTTCCCATACTCTACCAGCTGTCTCTTACCATCCTATCGCGCCACACTCTCTTGTGCTGGACACTGCTAGACGCTGGGCACGCTGGTAGACTCTGGCAGACGCTGGTAGATGCTCCCCTAGTCGCTGACGCTGCCGGACGCTCGGAACGCTGGTGGACGCTATTGGTCGCTGGTGGACGCTGCCGCAAAGTGTGAACGCAGCCTAAGAGAAAGGGGTGAGGGAGGGTCGATTCGGAGCAGTGTCTTTATCTTGCACCGGTAGACAAAATTCAACGGATCCAGTATGAAATCAGCCAAGAGTCACTCTCTCTGGCAGGGCAGGTTCAGCGGGTCCACAGTGAAACAGCCAAAAAGTTGCTTTCTCAAAAGAGACTTAAATGCCATCCAAAAGAGTTTCAATAGTACAGCCCAACGTCATATTGATTTCATTATGTTATTATTAGATTACTTTTGTTGTAGAAGCAGTATTCCCAACGAGTCTTCCAGCCTTTCTAATGAGTGCACTTCGTCTCCAAGTTCCACGTTTTATCTTGAAGATCCGTAGCAAATTCGATTTCCTTCCCGCTGAGCACGGAATTCATCTTTAAGAGCTACTCCTAGTGTTTCGTATTACCAAATGTATGCAACTGGCTCGAAACTAGCCGTCAGTATCGCTTGATGAGAGGGACACCGTGTGAAATACGAGATTGGCAAATCTATATGGCGATAGTTGGCTTCATTATCAGCGGCGCCGTCGTACCCAGCGATGCCAAGCAGCTAATGAAGCCTTTCTGAAGGGCTGGAGATTGGCGAAAAAGGTTTGGGACAAATCTACTGACCTTAAATATTGCAGTATCTCAAAAATCGACGACGTGAATATGGAGTACAGTGTGCAGTTGACGTTCAGAGAATCATGGGTAGACGGTCGATTGGCATATGGCCTACCGGGCGACAACAAGCCCGATTTTCTGATCCTGACAGCCGGTCAGCAGATTTGGATGCCGGACAGCTTCTTTCAGGTAGTAGTCATATTCAGTACTTTTACCGCTAGAGAAATAATAAGCCAGGGAAATCTTTTACCCAGCTAAACTGATTCGTGCGTGAGTGTGTTCGGGTTTTGTGTTCCAGTCAAATTTTGTAAAAGTTACCAGATTTAAGCTGCACGTTAACAAGCTTTTTCAAGCAAACATGGGAAAGTTACTGCAAAATGGGATATCCAGCCTTTGGCATCATAAAACGAGCATGCACTGGAAAGTGTATTGACGGAGCAGGACCTGAGCAGGGCACGGTCTGCCGTTCCGGAAGAATTTTTTTGGAATACGGCTTCCCTCAGGATTCCTACCA